ATACACACACATATATATGCATATATAATGCCTAAAATATATAATATTATGGTGGTAACATCTGATAGGGGTATCCATTATTACCTTAGTTAAAAATTAATTAATTAATTAATTAAAAAATATATACAGGGTTAAATCTCAGAAGGAAGATAAAGGAACTTTTAAATATTGCTCTTGGGAAGTAGGGTTAGTCAGGAGATCTGTTTTGTTTTTTTGTTGTTGCTGTTATTACCAGCTTTTAAATTTCATTTATGTTTCCAAATATAATAAAAATAGTTTGATAGCTATAGAAATAATTCATTTAATGGCAGCTAACTTTCAGTGGGCATGTCTGAGAGCCAGGCATTGAACTGAGATCTTTACATATGTTATATTTGCAACTTCTGCTTACAACCTTCTAAGATTAATATTGCTAAGGATGCAATGTTTGTGTCCTGAAAAATTCACATTTTAAAACTAAACTTGGGCCCTCCCTGGTGGCGCAGCGGGTTAAAGCACAGCATTAAGAAGCTTAAGCCACTTCCTCATGAGTTCGATCCCCGCCTGCCCCGGAGGAGATCCACATGGCGTGGCAGACCTCTCCTGACCCGCCCGCTGCTCCCCTCAGCAGTGTACTTCGTCGATCTGTCTGTTCTGCTCCCCACTCTGTCTCTGGTGAATCCTCTCACCCTCCGCATCTCTGGCCTGTACCCCAGTTTTGTATGAATAAATAAATAAATCTTAAAAAAAAAAAAAACTAAACTTACTGCAATGGTATTTGGATGTAGGAACTTTCAACAGTGATTCAGCTATGATTGTGAGAGGGATTAGTGGCTTATAAAAGTCTTCAGGGAAGACCATGTGTAGACACAACAGAAGGACTGGCCTCCAGGAAGCTGGTCTTTAACAAACACAAAATCTACTTGTGCCTTGATCTTGAAATCCCCAGCCTTTAGGATTGTGACAAAAATTTTATGTTCTTTCTAAGTCACCCAGTTGTCACATTATGCTTTAGCAGCCCAAATATACTAAGATATTACTATCATCACCCTATTTTACAGAAAATGATGCTAAATAGCTTAAGGAACTCACCAAGGAGAGTTAAGAATCAAATTGGCATTCAAATATTCAACTTAGAAAGCTGAGTTCTTCTGTTTTATTGCCCTTCAATTATTACAAATTTTGTTTCCTATGCCATCCTAACAGGCATTGTCATGAAATCATAGTGATATACATATCTAGCTTTCTTTCCAGCTCAACATGTCAAGAACTCTGTGACAAATGGCCATACTGTCATCTAAATAAACACTAATTTATAATTCCTTCTTTCTCTCTTTCTCTCTCTCATATTTTAGGTTAGCTAAATGGAGTTTAAATTTTTTATTCAAATTTTAAGTGGAACATTTTACAGCACAAAACTCTACTATGAGAACTTGTTGGCATCGAGCGCCAAAAACTTGGCAATGCAGTGTATCCAATGAATGATCCTAATAAAACCCATATGTACTCAAGAAATAAAAGTTAGAATTTTCAAAATTCCTAAAGAAGAGCTTTCTGCCTTCTTTTGGCAGAAAGATAGAAAGTCAACACTTAGATCATTGTTATACATTGTCGGTGTACAATTTGGTACAACACCAAAGGAGGCAAGTGAGTAATATTTATTGCAGCCCTACTTCTGAGAAGTACACCTAGATTAGATATAAACACAAGGCACACATGAGAAGGGATACATGCAGCTATTTATGGTAGCATTGTTTCTAATTATTAAAGTTTGGAAATAACCCAACTGCCCAGTTGAAAGGGACGAGTTAAACTGCAAAACAAAAAAATTGCTTGGGGGTTATCTTGGCCTAAGTCTGAGGGAACAAATCCTACTGTCAAATTTTCCGAGATTTGCCAACTTATTTTAGCAAAGTCAGTAATTTTTAATTATTGAAAATTAAATTCTATAAATTTATAATTAAATACATGATATTAAAACCAAGATTAAATACTCCAACTCATCACATCCTAATTATGACACTATACTATTAACTATGCTCTTGACTAGGTTATTTAAGTCTATTATACCAGCTTGATGGAAATATTTAACAATGTGTGATTGAGCATGTCCTCCCACCACAGAGTTCATTGTCTTCGGGTGATGGCTTGAAATCAAACATGGTAAGAATATTTACATTTCAGAAACTGGCAAGAGCTACAGATGGGTAACTTTTTAAGAAAGTCTTTATTACAGACTTCTCAACATAACTCAGAATATGTGTAATCTGTACTCGGTCCTGTACCGTAAAGTCAATAATACAGTTGTTATGAGGTTAATGAGTTACAATATGTAAATCTTTTAGAAGATGCTTGGCAAGCAATAGTGTCATACAAGGGTTTTCTGCTTTTCATATTATTTTAACTGGTATAGAAAGATCTCCAGACTTAAGTTATACATTTTTAAAGACTCTGGAAATTATGTATAGAATGTTGTCTTTGGGGTTACAAAATAGGGAAAATTGAAAAATACATATTCATAGATTCTTGTGCAGAAAGATTTTGGAAGAATTAGAGAAAAAATTAAAGTGGTTACCTGATTTGTCTTTAGCTAGAGAAATGGAGGGAAATTTTTCACAAAACATGGTAGGAGCAAGACGTTCATAGTTCATTATATTTTCACTGAATTCTATGTCTTTAACCTATGAGATTGCAATACCTATTTAAAACATTACACCAAATGACACCTTCCATTAACACAACAAGCATTTCCTCCTCATTTGCTAGAGTCAAAATGTATGGCAGATACTTTGAAAGTAAAAAGGGACATAAATGCACAATGGAGAGAGCATGACCTCTGCCCTCTGAGAGTGTGAGCAGTTTGGAGAGAAAAATTGAGTACAGTGAGACCTGCCTGGATGGGAGGGCCACAGTCTGCCCTGAGACAGAAATAGCAAAGGGCGCTGCACTTAAATCATGAAATTGCCCCTCCAAGATACTTACCCTGTTGTATAAGGGATATTTATGCCCCCTAGATTAATACTTTCACATCCAACAATAAATAAAGTTGAGAAACACAGTAAGGACACACCACTGCAGATCATTGCGAGTTTTGCAGATTCTCTTGCACCGAGTTTCAATTTTTTAATAATGTAGCCTCCCAAGACAATACCAACACCAGCACTGGGGACAATAATAACACCTGGAGAGAAGAAAGGAGAGACAAAATGAATTGGAAGTAGTGTATACTACTTTTTGGTTTTTTTCTAATTATTTTCAGGTAAAGAAAATTAAAATACAGTAATCAATAAACCTTCAGTGGGTGATTTTATTTTCAACAATTCAACAAAAGGCTCACATACATACACAGAATGTAAAATAGACATTTATATATGCAAGAGAATAAAGATAAGTAATCCTTTAAAATATTGAGCAAAATTTAACAAGACCCTTTGCTAAGATGAAATTCACCTGACCAATAAAGATATGAAAGAAATAAACATTTAAATCACAATGAGCTGTGACCCCATACCAATGATGTCCAAAAAACATGGCAGTACCATGGGTTAGCAAAGATATTGAACAATAGATACTCTCTACACTGCTGGTGCTGTCAAATTGTGACATATTTTGAAAAAAAGTTAGGCATTGTCAGGTAAGGTTGGATCCCATTACCGGCAATTCCCATTTCTGGACTCATACTGTGAAGAAACTCGGGTACACAATTACCAAAAGAACGTACGAGATATGTAAAGCATCATTGTAGCCAAAACCTGGAACTAAACCTAATGTCTATTATTAGGTAACATTATATGTAGTATATTCATATAATGGAATAAAACAGCAATAAAACTTAAGAATCATAATTGCAAGCACCTAGGAGAATGAACCATGCAAACAAATGTTCATTGTAAGAAGCAAACTGTCACAGAAAGCACCATGTGTTTTCATTTGTATAAAGTTCAAGAACAGGTAAAATTAAGCAATACTATTTAGAAATGCATCTACAGGTAGGAAGAAAATTCAGGAAGCCACTGCCATAAAAGCTGAGTGAGAGTCAGGGGGAGAGTGGGCTCAGGAAAGGATATAGGAGACACCTGGAGAAATGAAAATTCTCCTCCAGGACTTGGATAATAATTACACAAGTGTTCACTTTATGATTGTTCATTATCTCTAAATTTTGCTTAAAGCACTTCTGGGTGAATTATATCTCAAAGTTAAAAAAATTAGTCATAGTGCCTATCCCAAGAAGATCCCCACCTCAAAGAGAAACAAACAAAATGAGGTACAATAAAATGTTTAAATAATGGGAGGAGGAATGCAAGGGGCTATAAGGGACGGCTTCCCTGAAGTGGCAGTATGTAAGCTGCCACTCAACAGATGAAGCTGTCTTCAGGATTTGAAAGTTGACACAGAAAATTCCCAATTAGGCAGTATAGAATGACTGTAGCATACAAAGGAAACATATGCAAACAGACACAAGATTACGAAACTGAGGCTTCAAAGGTGTTCAAATTATTCAATATTTCAAATTATTGACAGTGTGGAATGCAAGCTGCTGAGAGGTGGTGGGACATGGGGATGAGACCAAGAGAGATCATGGGAAGGAGTTCAGGTAGTGTATCTGGAAAATGAGGGACCACTAAAGACTCTGAACAAGGGTCTGACAGGATGGGAGATGAACGTGTTTGGCAATGAGAAGGAAGATAACTTAGATGGAGTCAAAACTAGAGAGTGAGAAATGGTCTGGCAAAACTGTGGGAGGCATAGAAGGCTCAACACAGAGAGCACAGCAACTGGCTAAGGGTGATGAGGAGAGGGAATTACTGCATGATGCCCAGGTCGGGGCAGGGATCCAAAATATGAGGAAAGGAATGTGGGAGAGCAGCTCAAGAGTTCCATGTTGAGCCTGAAGGGCCTGGAAGGCCTGGTGGGACAAACAGGGAGAAGTACCTCACATGGCTGAACCTGTGGACAACAAGCACAGGGAGAATTGGGAGAAGATATTTATAATGTGTAGCAAAATTTATGGCAACAATGAGATTGTCAACAGGTGGAGCAAAATCAGAAGAGAATAGATCCAAAACCAGAGTCCTGAAGAGCACAAACGGTCACAGTTATCATAAAAAGATGAGCTCTCAGAGGAAATTGGGAAAAGCAAATGTCTCCAAAAGGGAGAAAAACTTGGAATTTGGTCTCGGAAAGACTAGGTTTCAAATTTTCCTTTGAAATCTCCATTGATCCGGTACCAGCTCCTTCAACTCTTTAAACGTATTTCTTGACTTTATCATGCAGATAACTATCTTTACACTAGAGTGAAGATTACAGCATGACATGTAAGCTGGCCCAGTGTGCCATGGCTTGACTCAATGTAAGTTGGAGTGGTTATCTACAATCAGGCTATGGAAATCAAGGAAATTTTCAATGAGAAAAACAAGAGTCAACTGCCTCTGCGAAGTGCAATAAGAGAAACTAAAAGGAGACAATTATGTCATTGGAGATCTTGGTAAAAGCCATTTAAAATGCTGTGAAGGTAGAAACCAGGCTTCAGTGAGTTGAATAGCCAATCCCAAGGATTTAGAGGTGGAATTCAGACTTAAGAACTCTGGTTGTAAAAGGATGGGGGTGTGGGTCAGTGATTCAAGAGTGAGGGAGATGGGTCTCCATAGAGTGAGGGGGATGGATCTAGAGTGGGGACAATGCAGAGCAGAAGCTGGGGGGTTTGAAGTTTTGAAGCTATGAAGGTTTGTTTGCTAAGATTTGGAAGGGATTTATGTATGCATTTGAAGGGGAAAGTTTACCTAATGACAAGTCAATGAGAAGTCAAGAGAATGAAGAATTAATAGCAGAGGAGATAAGATTAAACCTCTGAAAGGAAAAGATGACCTCTTCATCTGAATTGGGAATAGAATAAGGGTCAAGTGTGGGAAGATAAGTTGGATAGCATATAGTTGCACAGATGGTACTTTTTTGAAATATTTCCATTACCTTGAAAACATAATATAGTATATATTATAATACAACAGTTGAGAAGCTCAGAAAAGTATGGAGAAGCAGACATGTACTGCTTACATGCTGGCATAGTTCCTTCTGGTCTTATTTCTATGCCTTTTCCCTTTGAGAATTGAAAATGTCCTGTAGATTCTTCCATAGCTTTAGTTTGATATTTTCTGTATAATTGAAAATAAAACTGACTCTTAGAGGGAAAGTATATTAAAAACATTAAATATGGTCAAGAGTTGGAATAACCTTCATAGGAAAATGAAGAGAGCACTAAAAGAATGTGTAATGGGTTTTGCAAATAAGGAGTATTGCAGGTCCAGATGATAATAGATTCTAGTAGTCTGCAGCTGCATCATGCACACAGTTATCCAGCTTGTTTCGGCCTGTTCACCAACCCACGTAAAGAAGCAGAGAGGAGGCTACATTAATTTAAAGCCTGAACTTTGTCTGGCTGCTTATTTTATAATCCCTACCACATTCCTGATTTTATAAACAAAAAAAATCATTAACAGTCTTTTTAGAAGTGAGAAAATTGATGATTCAAAGAAGTGACTTGCCTGACAGTACACAGAACGGAAGGAGAGCCTGAAAAAACAGTAAAATCTCTGATTCCCGGGTCATATCACCCTGTCTCTTTGAGGCAGTCAATCCCTGGAATCTTTTAGGTAAGCTGACCAAAGCTCTGGGTCCTGCACAAGTTAATAAGTATCCTCCTCATTAGGGAAAAGTACACCTTACATGATCAAATAGGCAGTGCTTTACCTTCAGAGTGAAAATGACCCATTAATAAAATTCCTATTTCAATTGAACAATATAAAGAATGGCAGATATTATTCTAGAGCTCTGTGATTTAGCAGCAAAACAAATCTCCGTGTTCATAGTTGAGTCATAATTTAAAAGCAGTATAATTTATTTGACTACATGCACCTTAATTGGTATTCAGCTGTTAAAAACAGGAAATTCGTCATCAGTAAATATGAGGGTATAGCTGAATGAAAAACCCACTATCACCACAGAAAGCATCTGACTATTCGTTCAGGCTAAACTGTACATCACTCAGCTCTCCAGTTTGAGTGAGACTGAAATGTTTCCTCATTGGAATTTTAGATCTATGGGGTCAGTAGAGAAGATCTGTTATTGGGGAGCAGGGAGGAGGGCACACTAGAGCCTTGTTACTGCCCTTTCTCAAAATCCCTGGCTCAGGACAAAGCAGCATTAATAGTTTGGGGTTAGCTTGGGAGGGCATGGAGGGATTTGGAATCCCTCCCACTATATAGGCTTCTCAGCTCCCCCATGCCTACTGGAGCTACCCCATCTGATTCATGTGCCAGGCCGGTACTCTCCTTTCCTTCCTCTGTCCTCTTCGCTCTGACCCTCAACACCCAGTCCAGCTACGCCTCCAGCTTTCTATTGGCCAGATTTGAGACCCAGGGGCAAGCCAGTATAGAAAGGTATCAGCTGGGCTCTCCCTGATGATGTAATGGGTTAAAGCACCACATTATGAAGCTCTCCGAAGCCACTGCATCAAGAGTTCAATCTCCAGCCAGGGAGCTGACCCACATGGCACGGCACACCTCTCTTGACCTGCCCACTGCTATACTCGGCAGTGTAGTTTGTCAGTTTGCCTGTTCTGCTCCCCATTCTGTCTCTGGTGAATCCTCTCACCCTCCACACCACTGGCCTGTACCCCAGTTCTGTATGCATAA